CAAACTAGTCTCACGACCACTAATGATTACAGAGCCAAACCAAGGTAATATATATATACAGCCCAGGTGTGAATGCAAATAGTGGAATACAAGCTATGTGGCTCGGTTCCAGCAGATACAGAGAATATTTTGTCACTCTTAACGCGTCCTACGAAATTCTTACGAGACAGCACTAGTCCGTGAATTTGTGAACAAGATCGGAGATATAAAGATGCAATCTCTACCGTGCATCAGTGGCAGCCCGCTGGATCTCAATAGAGATTCTTTAATAATATATAAATTTTAAAAGACAAATGGGAAAAACCCATAAAACAGCAAACGGCCACATAATGCAAAACTATTTAAAATTAACACGGAACAGTAGAGAAAATCATTAGTGGTCGTGGGACTAGTTTGGGCCCCACCTAACTGGTCGAACGTTTCGTTTGGGTCTATACCCTAGCTGCACTGATGAGGCCTGGAAGGCCGAAACGGATCCGTCTGCAGATATTGGGATTCCTTCCAGTGGATGCTTAGTTTATTTTGTCATTCTGATACATCTAGATGTGTATAAGAGACAGATATAGGCCTATATGCTTATATACCTTATATGTATAGATCTTATATATTCTAGCATTTCTATGATATAGTAGACCTACTGTAACCTAGTGTAATCAAATTCAAGCAGTATTCGTAAGTACGTATTCGTACTTGGATCTTTCCTCAAACGGAACATTACTGATCTCGTGATTTATTTCTTCACACCTATTTAGATAAGCAAATAATTACTAATTAAATGCCAAAATTATCATTTGAAGGAGTGATTAAGGAGGAATCAATTGCAATCCGCAATGCGTCGCGTGGTGCATTACTCTCGTCAAGCTTGTCGCTTATTATCTGCGAAAAGCGTTCGTAACATCAGTAGCATGGAAGAGAACACGAGTTTTACTCGAAGGATGTGACACGTTCACAGAGTGTAAATATGATAGATGACCAGATTTGTCGATGTTTTGTCTTTTTTTATTTGCCGTTTAAGATACAGAAGTCGTGATAGAAATGTAAACATATTTATTTCCTCTGCTCGCAATTGTAAGTTCAATTTAATGTAAATATATGCGTGATATTACATTCTGATTTACACGTATTCTTAAATTAAATTCGTTTTGTGCAACATAGACATAATTTTAGTTATCGAAAAGATAAGGATGACTTTCCCCTGTTTTATATCCGTAAGCTTTAATTACAAATGGTTTATAAATCCTTTCATTTCCTTCGCGTTAAATATAAACCGACAAAGAAAAAATATAGTCCTACATTAAAATCCAATGTACTTTGTGGTTTGTTAGATGAAAGCGCGTATTTCGATACAACTTAATAGGCCTAATGCCGCGGAGCGTGTATATCAAGGCGGTAAATAATGCTGAAATTTTCGATAAACACCAATATTTGTAAATTTTTTTTCACAGCGATCCTGCTGGTTTGAAGTAATTTGTACTGTAGATCTTATTTTTAGAGGGTGTCGTTTGTAAAGGGGATTATAGAAAGGTATCGCTTGCTCGTCCTCAACTTACTCAGCCGTGAAGAAATAGATAATTGATGCTATTGTGATCGTAAACACACGTTATCAGGGGGTTGTTCGATTCCCGTGGTTGCGCCTGTATGCTTTTATAATGAGTCTAGATCTCTATGCTATTTTGCCGATTATATATACCTTCCACATGTTGATCGTAGGCTGTGAAGGTACGATTAGCGGACTTAAAAGGTATGTTTTGTAATAGAATAATTATATGCCCTTGTCTGGTGTGGAAGGCAAGTTTTGTGGTTATCACGTGACCTTGACGAGGGTATATTAAGCGAACAAAGACAAGTGTGAATGCCTTTGATGGTTCCGACACCTATTTTCCCAGTCTATTTGCCAGTGACGTGAACAGATACGTGAGAGCATCGTAATACTACGACCAAAAATTCACCTGCAAAAGCCTTCGCCAATAATATAGCGTATGCGATATTGTTGTTTGTTGGCTTTTCCAGATTATGTTATACAATAATCCCAAATCTACATCATCCACTTGACAATTACCAGAATATAGAAATTGTTAGCGTTCACATAATGTTTAGTTATTTGAAAATTAATCACGTTCTGTTATATTAATGCTACACGAACAGGCTTCGCGTTTCAGCGAAATGATCACAACATATCCATGCGCCGATCAATCAGACCTTTTTGCAAGTCCAAATGTCGTTATTTTGTACTAATCTGTTAAGCATATCTATTTGTGCGGTATTGTACAAAGGAAATTCACTCTTGTAATAAAGAATCGTTAGACAGATTAGAATATTACCAAAATACGCAGGCGGAAGATCTGTGTCTAAACAAAGCGTGGAAGAGGCGTGTGGATGAGTTAAATTTTCGGGTTTAGGCTTTAATGAAAAACGTAGAATACGATTGTATACATGCGAGTTCCGCGGAAAGAGGGCTTTTTGTCGGCCTGCCGGTCGTGCCACATACTCCCTTTCAGGCACTGAAGGATAAAGATGGATCAACATACGTGAGTTTGTGGCTAAACTTTCCGATGGGATCTTCAGAAATGGATGCTAGTAGCAAGGTCCCGAGAACGTGAGTAATAGTCGGACAGTCGTTACTTGTAGTTATACTTACCAGTCGACAACACATCGGCCACTTGGACCATTAAATTGCACCGGTAAACTTGACGGAAGAAGTGATTGTAACCATTATTGACTTAAGGGAAACGATAAATCAACCGGGAAATCAAGACACAATTGATCTTTAATTTTCTCTGCTGAAATTGTGGTTCTTATGTGTAAGTAACAAATTCACTGACACTATATATTCATCCGCGTATCATAAGTTGTTAGTGAAACTTGTATAGACCTAATATAGCCTAGATTCGCTGTAGGCCTGTGGTGTTCAATCAATTTCCAAATACTATAGAACCTATTTAACACCTTCCAGGCCTACGATCCACAACTATATCGAGGCCTACTCCGGGATTAAGATAGACAAACGTGAGTATTTTTCTCACAAATTTGAATTGAAAATTGAATTGAATATCACAATCAAAGCGACCACATCGGACTCCAAACCATTTTTCTAAAATCCAAATCTGGTTACCATGCTCGATGGACAATGATTAATTATAAAAATATGAATATATACCGTAGAAAGGCGTCCGTAACATCTTTCAATTTAAGTAACTGTGCTATATGTTCATGATTGTAGGCCTATTATTTATTGGGCCTAGTTTAATAGATAGACTTTTGTGACGACACCTTTGAATCGGTCCGGACGCCAATACAGTTGTGACAAAACTTAACACAACGCCAGCCTTTTTCCTCTTCGTTTTTAGCAATATCAATATGATAGTAGGCCAGGCCTATTCCTCTTATTTATATACTGTACAATGACACATTTCTTTAAAACCCCACCAATGCTATATTCGTTATCATTTCTTTTACTTCAATCAACAGTGACAGGGGCGGATCGAGAATTTTTCAAACGGGGGAGGGGAGGGGAAACAACGCATTCAGAACGGATAAGTGAGAGCGTCTTTATAGATTTCTCAGAAATAGGCCTATTAATTAAACGAAACGGATCTCCGTTATTTTCATAGTAGGCCTACTTACTTTGCTATGATTAATTGGTGTACGTCTATGTAAACAACATCCAATTCCCACAAACTCTCAACATTTCACGCGATAGTTATTGCAATCATAAAGTCGATTTTATAAGTTAATATAAAACAAAACAGGGGGCATGTAGTTGATATTATAGCACAAGAGATGATTTTACAGGCGGTTATAATTTGTTATCTGTTACAGTATAATCCAACGAATGTGCTTCGAACATTCTCAGTGGGGGCGTCTGGGGGCGCGAGCCTTTTTTAAGAGAAGCGTGTGTCCACGCACCCCCTAGATAAGTCACTGTTCGGCCTATTATCTATAGAGAGTACCGTAGTCTTTACGCGCCTCTTATTTTGGTTGCCAAGTCTACTTGGCCCTTTTGTATCACACCACGGCTTTCCCTCAACTACCCTGATGATTCTCCGCGTGATTGGAAATGCAAATAGGCCTAGGCCTAAAGCCAAAACCATAACTTTGTATTGTTATTCAAAACCCCCTACTAAACTAAAAAACATGTCTATGCTTTAATGGGGAAAGAATAGAAGATATCATCACTTAACACATGCGCTTATTTACTATTATATTAGTATGATTATTATTTAGGTCTATATTATTTCTAATGATAGCAATAATATTGCGTTATGTTTATTATTATAGATTTGGTATAGCAAATAATGTGTATCTTTGCAAATAGTTCACTCGCCATCTGGTTGTGTGTCATGAGTACCGTCCCCAATTCAATATATTTAAAGTCTATTAAAGTTCACGAAGCGTGATGACTTTACTGGTCAGCGGAGAATAGTAATGGGATTAGGATCAATATATGGACTTTCACGCATCGTCCCACGTCAATAATCACTTGGACCTTATCTATAGCTGTCGATTCTTGACCTGTCTGATGAGTTTTATTGGTTTGTTTCATCCATCGATAGGCCTAGTATAATATTCTATCGAATCCAGACAACAATATACAAACCATTTCATCCCACTTTCCATTTACGATGAGTGTTTGTAGGACGCCTGTATGGGTTATTTATACTCTATCGACCTGGGGATAATGGTAAGAGAATGGAAACAAAAATGATGTACAAGGTTAAATCACCATATCAAATACTCTTCGAATTGAAACCGAAATATTCGATAATTCAGGCGTTTTGCTGTTCACAGTGGTCAGCCGCCTACCACTCGAAACTGGGCCCTCCGATCAACTGCTCTATCTTATGATCAAAAGTAGGCCTAGGTCCTGATTTCAAGCTAAGATTTACTCAGCTGAAATGGCAATGGTAAATAGTGATCACTTAACCAGCGAACATGCACATGACCTGTTTAGAGAACATATGTAATGATGCGTCCTGTGTAAATGATCACGCGTTCAAGTTACACGACGCGAACACGCACATACAATGTGAACACTAGTTAAAAATAAATTACATTCAACTAGTCGATTTTTAAATTTGTGAACACGATTTTCTTCATGCCTGAATATGATTGCATTAGCAGCTGAATACATCAATCTAGTTGATGGGGACCAGTGCTAATAAAGTCTAAGTAAAACGATGTGTACGAATGAAGCGTTTGATCACTGCATATCATATCGGTTAATTATTCTATTCTAGTCAAATGGCTCGAAAAAAGGAACCGTCTGTCTCCTTGTACATATCAAGTCTACTTTACATTTCCGAAAGAGCTTATGACATAGGCTAGGACCTACTGAAAGCATATGAAAACATATATGAGATAATGACGTAATATTCGCTAATCAAACCGTTTTAAATTATAAATGATTTGTTGTTGCTGTTATTATTATTATTATGCCCTATTATTATTATTAAAATTTTATATCCGTAGGCCTATTATAGCTTAAAAAAGCAGAAGTAAATATCATCAAAGGTGGTACACTTATTAAATTCTACTTACCTTCGGCCTACTTTTTTTTCCCTTTTTCTTTAACAAGAAAATAAAATATAACATATACCGTTTTCAATCTTGACTAGATATCATGATTCGATCACTGTGCGATTGTGCATTACTAAGCCTACCACTAACATTATCTTCAACATCTATATTATTATTTGACAATAGATATTATTGTCGTAAAATTAGGCCTCAGTTTTATTGTACTTTAGTTTGGTACGTTTATGTCACACAATTGTTTGTCTCGCTGTTGTTTTATTATTAGTTATAGCCCTATAATAGGTCTATATTTTGCTAGATTCTTCGATTAAGAACGCCTTAGCGATGTAATACCGTAACAATTGATTCTTTATTATAGTAAATTTCCAAAATCCGGGCCAATGTCCTTAGTTAGGAGGTCGAGCCCATACTAAGAGAAAAACGTTAAAGTATCAAACACCTAATTAAGTCGTTAAACTCACTAAAACAACATGTTTTCCACAGGATATGACATTATTACGGTAATGAGTAGGGATAATCATGTGAGTTCGGCCCACTGCACTCATTAACCGTCGACTTACTGCTTAATGTTTTAATTAATTTTATTCCTCTTATTAATTTTCGATACCTCTTCGTTTACTAGCTCTGTTTGAGTTACAGCAGACAATTTTTTCGACGTGTTTATATTTACTCGGCTTGTTTAATCCAGTTAATATACGGATGAATTAAGGAAGGCGAATTGCCCAAGTGGTTGTCGAAATACATTAAACAATAGAAAAATTACGCCATGATTGAATCTGATTGAGGTTTTATTAAAGTTTGGTGCTGCGGTCTGTCTGTAACAGTATGGAAAAACACGCTGTCAAATCGGGCCAAATTGATTATGTTTTGTGGGCGTGGTTTCATAGAAGCGATGTGTTAGCTCCGATGATGGGTATTTTATATGAACCCGCCCCTTCCGATATGCTTTGTGATTTTCATTGAATATTTCGAACAAAACAAAAATAGAAGTTCGTGCAGCACCCAAGGTCAGATAGAGTACTGATGAGAACATCTTTGGCTATGAACTCCTGTGCCCTATACGTCAAGGCCTAACTTCTTTTTGGACTCACCGCCTTATGCAATTGTCTGTGAGTCCCTTTTGTCGTCTGCCTGCATCCATACGTCGACACTTGGCGGAAATAACCTATCATTCTATAAAGCAATGCTGCAAGCATCGTCTGTTTATTAAACAAGTCGGACACATTTCCCGAGGCGGGAACCTTTCTATTTTCTGTCATGTTACATATTTAATTCGTTTGTCGAAAGATCAATGGTAACCACTGGAGCATATTACAACACCTTTTTTATCTGCGATTGTTTACTCATCTTTGGTTGACGTTGTGTGTATTTCGGTGGGTTGTGCAGAAGCCGTTGAAAACCTCCCATTCAACACCGGCGTAACTTTAGGCCCACTACAACGGAAGGTCCCCAGTCTAGCCCGGGGCTTTGAATTCTGAGGTCGTTAGCACACAGAAAGTGTAGGTTATTGCCCTGTAAGTCAGAAGGTACGGCCTCTCTCACTCTGAACTACATTTGCTCCTTTTCCTACAAAGAGAAATCTTGCTAAGACTAATTACGCTTGGCACCGGCAACGACACTATACCACGAGTCAGTGGAAAGACATTAAAGCGTTCTGGTATTCTAATTATTGTGTACCGGAAGCAATCCCTGCTGCGGTCAGTGACATAGAAAGTACATTAGGCCTACTGTATTAAACTTGAAGGTTTACTTACTGACTGACCCTCGATATATCTGATCATTTCTATTGTGAACTTTCTCTGTGACAGCAGTACTCTCGGGCACGTCCAGGTAATCATTTCAGGTAGATATTTTATTACCATTGTCTGCTTACAATTCGTGTCTTATATTTGAACACAATATTTCGGTCACCTCGTTCGAGGTCTGTTTACAGTCTATCATGTATTCAATGTATTTTCGTAAAGTGTGCATTATTTTACTGTTATATTACTGTTTTAAACCCCTCTTTTAAATGCGATAGTTTTGTTTCCAAAGACTATTCGTTAGTAAAGTTTACGTTGGGTTGAACATATACGTTATTCTTCGTAATACTGTATAATTCTATTGGCTATATTAGGACTACTACTACTATTACTACTACTCTAGGCTAGATATTAGTAGTAGTACTACATAGTAAGAAGCCTAATATTAGCAGCAGTAGTAGTATAGAGAAGCATAAGACCATAGTCGTATCCCATCGTACGTAGGCTTAAGCTACATTCATCGGGTATGAACCGAAATTCGGATCGCATTTCCGATGCTCTGAACGCCAGCATCCATATTCTTACACAATGGTCCGATTTCTGATCGGTTCTGAGGCTTTCCGATCTGAAAATTCGGATTCGGTTTGAAAAGCAACTTTAATATGCCTAATATAGCCTAATATTTCGTAGTATAACATTTGTAAATAATAAACCGTGTAACTGTGTCTATATATTCTAATCAAAATTCAATAGTATTAATACTCCTGCCTGTTTGAGCTCTTCCCCGTAGCTAGTGAAATGAACCTATCCTATTTAATATTGTCTAGCAATAGCATAATATTGAATCTCTCGCAAAAATATAAAATGGTAATGGTATGGTAATTATTTCGCGTCGCCACAACAAGACACAATTTTATTTACTGTGCATCGCTTCGAATAACGTTACTTGTATGTATCGTAGTCCTGTGATTTTTCTCTAGTAAATTAAATAAACCAATGGAGAAATTTGTAGGCGTTAGATTCTGTCTCTTATACACATCTAGATGTGTATAAGAGACAGATCAAATACTCATCCAACAATAGCAAATCTAGAAACAACTTTTTCCCATGTTTTGAATCCTTAATGTACAATTTCATCATGCTTAAAAATAAACTATGAAATAAGTTCCCCTCCCCAATAATTTTGAAACGTGGGTCCGTTTAGACACTATCAATGACCATGCATCGCATTTTTACATGTTTTAGTTGTCGTAACATTGTTTGAGGGCGGTATAATACTATTCTGAGCATAATATGGTAACTAAGATTCGATGAATGACACGATAGTTCAACTTCTTTTTTATATGTTATAGCCACAACATACTGTGTTGCTATGAGTCAGCTCGGTGTGAAATATTGTGACCTAATTGCAAAAATAATGTTTTGTATATAATGTCATGATTCATATTTTATTTAGACTGAAATTATCACTGATAAGCAAGCGGAACTTTTTATTCGGCAGTTGAATGTTAAGCATTGTATTCCTCTATAGATTTATAATTAAATATGAAATATGATTTAAACATGTTCTGGAAAAACATTTTAAAGTAAATAATTTAAAATTAATGGAATATTATTAATTTTTTAATTCTCGAAAAATAGCTCATCTGAAATTTGTTTGTGTTGTGATCAAAAGTTTAAACTTTTATTACAATTTTTTAATTGTATAAATTTTTCTCACTTTCAGAGTTCTATGCCGTGGCCACCAACGGGTCAACCGAAATTTACTTGGAAACCAACCAGTGAGGATTTTCAGAAGGGTCTATCAGGCCTGGATGCAGCCTACATCCGGGGAATAAATTCGCTGAAAAATCCTTGTCCAATGTCATCGTTACGTGAACGCCTGACGATTCCACAATCTGGGGACGAGAATGAGGTCCCGCGAAGTAGGAATTCTTTGACGTCATACTCAATGGAAATGTTGCTCAAAGATACAGACGATCATAAAGAGCGTCAACTTGCTCTCAAACCATACGAAGGCGTTTTCAGTCGACACCCAGTATCATCTATATGTCACCCACCATATTGTAATTCTTACAATCATATTGTCAGAGAAGGACTGTCGGCCAAGTCGGTGCCAAGTGATTCCGCTTTTCATAGAAACTGCGATCTGAGGTTCTGCAACCCGCTTCCAGGCAATATGCATGATCATCTGGTGCACATGCGGTCAGACTATTCACATATTCCGTCAGGCCTTTCGCCTTCAACGAGTGCGCATCTAATCCCGCCAGGGTCTTTTATGTCGCACTCTAGCTTTAAACCGTTCTGGTCACCCCCAGTTGATCTTCTTGGACTATCTGGGCACACTGGGCCATTTCTGGTCCCTTCGTCATTTTCTGGATTTCCATTATCCTCGCGAGCTGACCGTCGGTATACTGGTCGGGCAACGTGCGATTGCCCAAACTGCCAAGAGAACGAAAGGCTTGCAGCAGCTGGGCAACCGATACACAAGAAAAACGTACATAGTTGTCATATTCCAGGATGTGGGAAAGTGTACGGCAAAACATCGCATTTGAAAGCACATCTACGCTGGCATACAGGCGAACGACCTTTCGTTTGTAATTGGCTTTTTTGTGGAAAACGATTTACCCGCTCTGACGAACTACAGCGCCACTTGCGCACGCACACGGGTGAAAAGAGGTTCGCCTGCCCAATTTGTAATAAACGCTTTATGCGGAGTGATCATCTGAGTAAGCATGTGAAAACTCACTCGGGCCAAACTGCTAATGTTAAAAGGAGTAGTTCAGGTAGCGCAGTTGTTAAAAGCAGTGATAGCAATGAATCAGATAGCCGAACCGAGTCTCCGCCCTCACCGGCCAATACTAAATCCAAATTAAATGACAGCCAATCTGAAATATCGGCCTGAATCTAGTACAGTACCTTCCAAAATCTCAAATTGTAAATACTATTATTTAATAACTATGTATCGCTTTCATATAGAAAGTATAAAGATCATTGTCTTATCAGAGTATTGTTTTGTTTATTTCCCTAAAGATAATTATGATTTTACTTAGGGGGCCTGTATTGTGAGATTAAAGATCTTATGTCGAATGTGTGTATGATATGATCAGCAAATTAAATTATTTAATTATTTCATCTTGTATTGATGTTCAGAATGAAAGGAAATAATGTACAGCTGTTGACGTTAAATTGTTATTTTATGGATCGATTGATTCATTTTAATTTGAGCAAATAGCTAATTCTCCATTAATTGTATTTCTTAAATCAGGTATTTAGGATTTAGAGCTATTAAGCCTGGTTTCCATAAAATCGCTGCACCGTCGCTACAATATTTTCAGTGTAATCAATGTACTACGTAGTAGTCCCTGACGCAATCATAAAGGTTCCCCGATTCGACCGACCAATCAGCGTCACCGAAATCTGCCGGCGATAGTGTGTAGCGATTGTATGGAAACCAGCTTTAATGGTAGCTATAGGTGGGTGGTAGATACGATGCACATAATTTATGTAATACGTTCATAATTTTGTTATATTTCGTAAGATTATGGATGTCTTAATTTGAGCATGTACGTACCACCAATACAATATTATATATGACGGCAATGTCAAACAATAACGAATATGTTTTCTAATCCAATGTTTCAATTCTGGATATTTTTATTATGAAATGTTTAAATGCGTTTATCCTGTACTAATGATAGAATATTAAATATCGTTACATTCGACTAAGAGAGTAATATAAATTAACCGTTAAAAGTAACCGCTCTATTCATGCAAGGCCTGGAATAATAGCAGGTACTATAATTATTTAATAGTTAATTTATGTGAAAGACGACCGAAGTCAACTATCTTAATGCAAATACATGCTTTGTCTTATAAAGCAAAGTCGTACGTGCAATGATTGTTTGAAAACCGGAGATATAATAAGGATCTTGTTTAAAAGCTCAATGGTGAAACCCTAGTGGGGCTCTGGCCGTTGTTTAGACAAATAGGTCTTGTAGAACACAGTTATGCGTACGCTGATTATTGGCTGAATCATTGCTATGGATAAACAGGCTCTAGCCCCTTTAAAGTTTTACCAACATGCATGTTTTTTTTTATGACTGAAATAATAGCCTGGTAGCCTAAGTTGGCATAAGACCTCTGAAAATATAATTTTACTAGACCTCTCCTCCATCTAACTTAAAGTCATGTATCCATCCAGAAGCCAAGCCCATATTGCACGGATTTCATATTGTTTAAATTAATTTCCTATCATATTCATATAAACATTCCGTCTTTAGGCCTACATTACACAAATGCATAATAAACTCAACATTTACATTATTAAACTTAAATTTCATACGCTATAAATATATCAATTTACCTAAAAGTATCGACAACAAGCAAAAGGAATTCACAAGTAAATGACAGATGGTACAGTACTAAACTACATAGGAGACCTTGAATAAATTTAAATAAATTAGTGTGAATGTTTCTATTGACTAAAATGTATGTATTTTAGATTAAGCTTCCTATTTTGAATAAACATAGGGCCTAGGTATAGAACACAGGCTACGTGTCTATTACTGTATAGTATGAGCAGCGGAGGAGGATGTTAACAGAGAGAAATAACACAACAGTGGGTAAGTACCTAGAAGATAAGAGGACTGGTCGAGAATTACCTCTTTGTAACAAATGAATTATCTTCAAATGCTGTTTAAACTATTATAAAAACGCACGAATCAATCATGCATTATTCTGAATCTAAAACGAGAGTCGCATACAAGTGCTGATGGCCTATCGTTACGTAGTTATTATTGATTTAAATATTTTCGATAGATCTATAATATAATTAATGATTGGGAAGAGGTATAAATTAAATTAAGGAATCCAAAAACTTTGATCTGTCTTTATATGTCTTTGGTTAGCCTCATCTCGAATATGGTTCTATTATGTTTAATGGTTTATGTAAAAAAAGCCAATCTGAGAAGCTAGATACCGTGCAACATCGATTTCTTAAATTTGTTTGGTAATTTTATAAAACTAGGCCTATTACTTTACCCAGCCTAAGGCAACGAAGGAGTTACATCGATTATATTTTTCTTTTCTTAATTTTTAAATGCATGAAGGAATTCTTTGGTCAATACCTTCTTTCTTTATTTGGTTTTTCTGTTAAAAGTAAGCTTTTCTTAACTCATTTATTTATTTAGATTCCACCGGCGACACTCTTTTGTTTGAGTATCATTTAAGTACAAAATAAAGAATTTTTTTGAGTATGTGCTTTGATGATTTTACCATCTTGTTTTTATGTATTCCATTCTCTAAGTGGCGGCTTCCCCGCTGTCGGTTGTGAATTCAAATAAAATTAAAATTAAATAATTTAATATTAGGCCTACTTCCCTACCCCATTCCTACCTAACTATGGCATTAATAGTCAAAGTTACTTCTACAACTAGTTGCCGGTTTCTAGTGTTGTATTGTAGGTCTTGCAAGTGAATGTCATTTAAATTGGTGTTCTTGAGCACAAAGATCCCATGGTTGTGCCAGTGGTGAGGTGGGGTTTAAAGTGTTCGTATTTTTCTCCTAATGTCGGGGACTTGAGCGCAACCTCTGGGTGCTGGATGGCTGCTTGCACCGCTTTCGTAGGGGACATCGGACCCGATTGGGGACTCTATATTTAATCATCCTCTCCCTTCTTATACACACAATCAGCACATCGATGAAATATAATAATCATTTCGTGGGGTTTATGTTATTAATGTTGTTTTATTTAGATTATTTTACTTATTATTATTATTGTCGTACTATTTATTATTGTTATTTATATTGTTGAAATCACGTAAAATTATTTCGTTAGCGCCATTAGTCAAATTTCAAATTTAAGCATAAAAATTTATTTAAAAAAATATCTGTGTTATATATATGGCTATAGCTTATCATTGCGTCTGCTTTTGTAATGTCTGGTGGTAGTAAGCATACGGTACCACTGAATAAATATTCATTAATTTTTTCCATAAAAGATACTGATATGGGTTCAACATCTTTTATGGTTACCAAATGCTACATGAATTTAATAAATACTCATGCTCAACAACATATACCGGTACCTCATTGTACTGAAAGTTATCATTAGACATAGATGTATTATAATATGGCTCCGTGGATTAAAAAAATCGTTTATGTTTGGTCATTATGACTGCACCACAGTTTTCAACATTGTATCTCTGTAAAATTTGTACAATAAATATGTACGTCTGTACAAACATGTATGTCTAGTTGTTTTTTTTTTGTTTTGTTTTTTTGTTTTGTTTTTTTTTTTTTTTATTACATACGATTTTAAGAATCCGTATGGCCAGCCTCTATCATACATTGCATCCCTATGAATTTGTTCCAATAATTTCGTACATCTGTACAAATGTTTATGACTCGTTTTTAACATTTTAAGCAATATTAAATTTCCTATTATTTTTTGTCCGTATTTGTTTGTTTTTATTATGAATTAATAAAATTAGTATTAGTGCTTTTAAAATTTATAAATCTTGTGTACGGTATGTGTTTCAAATAAAAATATTCCTTCTCATATTTAGTTTCTCCTTATGTTGCCTATTTGATACATCTTATAATAACATTAAATTATATATTTAATTGTTATCAGAAAAAAAAAATCTGGTCATTTCGATAATGATGATTGTGGAATAATGATATTTCCTATAATCACTGCCGATGGCTAATTATCAGCCGATGGCGGTGGTGGTACTGCTGCTAATAATGATGATAAAGATAATGATAAAGATTACTATATTGACGATTAACGACAATTGGTAATACATATACTTGCAAACGTGTGTTTGAAGATGACGTTGCACATCCATCACTACTTATTTCCTTAAAAAATGAGAGAGGAACAGACAATACATTTAACTACGTTACTTAACATCAATTTATTGACATTGTGGTCTTTATACATAAAATTTATGTGAAAAATGTGAACACATTTAATGTGTTCACATTTTTTAAACAATTTGTGTAACAATGAAGCATTGCTCCATATTGTTGATATCACACCACTATTCAACAATAAGCGTTACAACCTAAAAATAATCAAATACAGTAATAAGTTTAAACAATGCAATGACAATTGCTCAAAAATAATATGTGATAAATATATTATATTTTCATTTTAGTTTATACATTTGCTATAATTATATTAAAATGTGGTAATGTTGATGTCACGGTTAATACAGTTAAAAATGTTTAATTTCAACTTCAGTTTTGTTTGTTTTGGATGTTGTCCATATCCCTGTTTCTTATATTTTTTAATCGGCCGAGTGACGAAAGGAACGTTGCAATTCTGATGATACGGGAGGGGAATAAATGAGTGATAAACAGGCCTAACAGTAAACTTATCACAACCGTTTGGGTGGGGGGGGGGGGGGGGGGTGTGGGCTCTGGTACCAA